GGGATTGAACCCCTGGATTATGTTGAAGTTAAATGGGAAACCATCCCCTTACCTCCAAAACCAATCCAAACCATCAAATGGGAGATCGTGCCACGCACTTTGCGATGAGTGTGTGTCATGTCTCTGTGTCCGTGGCTGGTTTTTTGTGTGATCTTATTGGGCCGCCCTCAGCGACGTAGGCCTTTTTTTTCCGGGCGCATCTGAGAGCGATAAGCCTGGCACTCAGTGCGTCTCGCGACTTGTGCTTGGAAAACGGCATGCTTTTCGCACACGAAGAGTTTTTAAATTCTTTGATACATATGATAAAATATGTTGGTGCCTGAGTTACAAAAAATGTCTTGTCGGCCTATAAGACTTGTTTTGTTTTTGATATACCCACCACGGCCTAGACCTTAGCCCCTGAGATGTTTTCTTATTGAGCCATTTATCTCTGCTTTTTTGCGATAGCCAGGATGCTTCCGATACGAAAGGCGAGGGAAATGGTTTTTTGGATGTGATTTGCAGCCATCACTTCTTATTGTCATGGATCCATCGATTTATGAGCCGCAAGCCTGTTCAAATATTTGTGCCCCGAGATGATGTTGGTCCGGCACTTGGACGGGTTGTGGAGTTTGGCAGCGTTCCTGTTTATGAATTTTAAAGTGATTAGTCTTTGCTATTTACTCGATTGTTCTTTTTTGAGATATGAAGCATCTTATAGTTGTTTTGTCTTAATCATAGAGAGATTTAGGCTGCGGTTCTGTTTCTGCGTGCGAGGGTTACACGTTTATGCTAAGAGGTGTAAGCATTCCATTTCAGTTGGCCTCCACGCTCAAGAATTGTGAAGGAAGCTTTCTGGAAGTTTTTAAGAAGAAACATTTCTCTGGTTTTATGTTGTGCTTGGTATTTGCACGGTCTTCGCCATTGCCTCGCTTTAGACGAAGATGAAAGTAGCGTCGGGCAGCTCACGAAGTGTAAGCAGGATTGCGAGATTGAGATGCCGCGGTTGGTGACGTACATTCACATATGACAAATAGTGCCCTCTTTCTTGAGTTCTTTACTGGCTTTAAGGGATTTTTTTGATTATTTTTGTTGGTAAATGCCAGGAATAATTGGATATGACCAAGATTAAGATTGGCTCATTGATTTGACCTAGGTAACTCAAATCTTTGTCTGTTTAGTTTATAAAACAAAATCGTGATACTCCTTACGCGCGTTTTCCCGGACCAATTTTCCAAAATTTCCCGGATATTTCGGAAAATTGGTCCGGGTTACCCTTGGGAAATATAGTCGCCTCATATTTCTTACGGACTACTTACCTAAATCTGTCCGAGCTACCCCGGCCCTATATCCGGAAGATATAGTGGCTTCATTTTTTATAGGGCCTAATTTTCCGAAATATTTTAAATATTTTGGGAAAATCATAGTCATCCACCACCATTTTCTCGAAATATTCCGAAATCGCCTTTCGTTTGACACTTGCTTGGTCTATTTGCTTATTTCTTTCTTTACAAATATAATCGTACATATCTATTTACGATTGTTACTTCTCGTGCGCTGCTGGAAAGCAGCGGGCCCCCGCTAGTATATATATATATATATATATACACATTATATCGTCAACCCGGATTTTTGCGTCCAACTTGTCCAGAGTCGCCCCTGGGGATATGAAGGGGCCATGGCGCAATGGCAGCGCGCCCGCCTACCTAAAGTGTGTCGGGAGGTTGCAGGTTCAAGTCCTATTGGCTCTACTTTTGTCTTCAAAGCCACAACACAGGGCAACCCTCAAAAACGAGACACACCCATTGACACAGCCCATTTCATCAACCAGAGTAGGCGCAACGATTGCGTGCAGACTGAACGTCAGGAACACCATATCTCGTACACATGCGCGTGTCCTTTGTGTATTCATTGTGCGCACCGAAACATGCACTCACAGCGCAGGCGAAGACAGAAATGGGGCCACAGAAATCATGAGGGTAACTCCAAAATGGTTGGGTAATTCAACAATAAGGGGTTCAAAACATACACACCCATAAAGATCGAAAGGTCTGTGTGTTTTTCAATGTTGCTGTCGAGTCACATGTCATCATGTGGCAGTGATTGGTACCCCTGCGCCATGGGAACTAGTATCCCATGAGCGAGGAGGTATGGTCAAGAGAAAGTCCGGAAAAAGCTCCTCGAGATCGTCTTTGAGTTCCAAGGTGGTGCAGCTGGACAGCAGTTCTTCAAGGGGAAAGAGGAAGAAGGGAAAGAAGAAGAAGATCTCGAAGAAAAGCTCCACCTCCACCTCCTCCTCCTCGCCTTCCTCGCGGCTTCGGAAGCGGGTTCCAGCGCGGGCTTTGCGAAAGCGCTCCAGGTCGCCCCAGCGGTCCCCGTGCAGGCGGTGCGTGTGTGTGTGTGTGTCCTTTTTGGAAGGCTCTGACAAAAAACCGTTTCATGGTGATCTAAGACGTGATCTTTTTTCTCCGTTTAATACCAAAAGTGGAGTTACCCACATGCGAAACACGCGATGGGTAGCTCTGTTTTGCGCACGGGTTCGCCACGGTCTCGCTGCGGGTTCGCCACGGTTCGGAACGTTGCCCGATGGCACGGCCGCGCAAGGTTTTCGCCAGGTTTGAGTTGTGGCAGGCGCAGCGCTTTGGCAACCTGAGGTGCAGATTTCGTGACAGGCGCAGCATTTTGTTTTCATTGGCATGAGAATTCGTGATAGGCACAGCACTTTCGCAAGGCCAAGCGCAGATTTCGTGGCAGGTGTAGGAGTTTCGCAAAGCCGAGTACAGACAGAGTCCCAAAATACATACACATGAACAGGCCTCGTAGTAGGAAAACTGTGTTGTGGACATGGCCCCAGGAAAGGCCTAACAGCGAGCAAATTACGCATGTTGTTGCTGCAGGCAGTTTGCAAAGTCTTCTGGGTTTCAAGTCAAGTTTGTTTGTTACGGTCGTAACTCCATCTGTGGATTTCAACTCAGGCTGGCGCAGTGTTTAGCAATTACATCTTCTGTGGTGTTGTTATATAGGTGACTTGCGACAAACCGAAAGGGCTTCTCTGTATTTTGTTTCTGGAGGTCTGCTGGGTAGAGTAATCTCCGGGCTGCTGCCGCCGCACGCTATTTTCCAAGCATGATGAACTGAGCTCACATCCAGGAATCCAGTGCTCGTTGAGCATGCGCCCCTCCGCAAATTGCAGTTTTGCGCCAAGGAGCACGATTTGCAGTATCCCGCGGTGGTAGTTATTTCGTTTGCACGGCTTGAGAGGGAACGTAAAGTTTCGAGCTATACGAGCCACTGGAATGAGGGAAGGTTATGGCCTTTCAAGGCCCAGTCACAGTCATTGACTTGTTGCAATCAGTCAGGAGCAGGCTCCAATGCCTCTGATCACATGGCAGCCTGAAGCAACAGCGACGGGAATCCCAGCGACAGCAATGAGAATCCATTTTGTCGCTCGCCCATTTTCATTGCGAGACAGCCGGACCCCGATCTGAGCAATGGCGAGGCGGGGGAATCAGAAGAAGACGCACACGCAGATGACCCGGTGGTGGACCCTGTGCCTGGCCCAGCCGCTCCATGTCCTCCAAAGACATCTATGCCTGAACCTACGATTTGCATTTGTGTTTCGGTGAGCCGATGGCAGCCGCGAGCTCCTTGCAGGCTGGGGACAAGTCGGAGCGCCAGGTGTGGTGCTGGCAAACATGTGCAGCAAGATGGGTGCCCTGTCTGGCGAGCAGAAGAAAACTCGGCTGCAGGCACCTCCCGTCAGATCGTGGCAGGTTTGTCACACGTGCCTAGGTCACCATTTTTTCTCGGGGGTGCCGTGCCCACATCCGAGAGCTCCAGAGATATACGTCTACATTGACACGCCAAAAAGGGCCCAAGAGCCGCTCTGCAGACGCAGCTTTGGAGAAAGCTGTGTTTTTTGTTTCTGCTTATTGGAAGCGGGAAAGCCCCTGTTTGCAGGCACGGGTTTCCAAGCTTTCACGTCTTTGCGCAACGTGTCCGTTCTCCCGGCGAGCCCCTTCCACCTCCAACTCGTGCTGTGTCATGTTTCCTTAGCTTTTTCTACCCTGACCTATTTTTTCACACTCTCCGCGCAGGAACGTGGCCGTGATCTTCAAGATGACCCTGACCAGGTATTGACTCCAGGATGCGATGTGCCCATATTTTCTGCAGTGGCGCCACTTACTTGACGGATGCCCCGAGGACGAAGGAGATCATGCCTTGCTGACACACGTGTGGAAATATAATATTGGTCATGTCTACACACAGGCACACGGGCGGGGGCATTGTTAAGTGTTCACCCCCCAGCTGATTTCAATCTCGGGCAACCCAAGAAACCACGCCACTTGCCTGAACAAGCATGCTGCTGAATACAATGTTGTGGCAAGCATGCCAGATGGATGATTGGACGCCGGATGCCCGATTTCAATCAGGGTGCAAAAGAGGGATGACAATTCCAGCGATCCTCCCGTAGACTGGGTAAAGACAAAAACAAGTACAACCAAGTGCAACCAAGTGCAGCTGAATGATACAATGTCCCTAGTCTTGAAGAACATAGTCCGAAAACTACGTGGAATTGTCCAATTCGGCCCACGCGGGAGACTGATCTGGCTTCCAAACCACAGGCGCTCGTTTCTTGCCTGGTGAATGATTGTATGTTGTGGTGAGCAACAATGTAGTTCAAAGCACCTGAAGTCCCAATTGTTGCCCATCCCTTTCCTGGAGCATTTTCACACGTGTGCTATTTGTACCTATTAGTTGGGTACGCCAGGTGATTGCTACTCACTGTAGCAAGCAGTAAAAGGCTCGATTCGAGAAGCCTCCCCCCTGCCACGAAAAACGCTTGTGCACTTTGTCTCCCTCCACGGGGTTCAAGGATACATCTTGGTAGTGAAAACCAGCGGTTTCAAAACTCCATGTGCCAGGTTTTCTGGGATGCTTTGTTGTACCGCCAAGTATTTGAGGATAATTCCCTGTCGATGGCATCGCGCGCGTCCCAGGGGAAGAAACTGGAGGAGTCGATGTCGCAGAGCCGAGGTGGGAGAGGGGGGGGGGTTGGGCGCTTCGGTGGGCAAAATGCGGGTTTACACAAGCAGTCCGACCACTTTGAAGGGAAAACTAGGTTTGAGAAGTGTAAGAAGCCATCCACATTCTCCCACTTTGAAGGGACAGGTACTTGCATGTTTGAACAAGTGGTCGGCCGAATCCCATCAGACAAGCTGGCGGTAGCCAATCGTTGCAGTGTCCATTTCTTTTTCCGTTGGTTTGCGCCTTGCCAACAACACGCGGGTGTTCGAATCAGCCCACGTCTGCGTGGAGGGCGAGCTTGGAGCCGGTGATCCTCCACTAGAGCATGCCATTTTTAGTTTCCAACTTCTTTGATCTTGGGGAAGCCACGTGGGGCTGTTCGGGGAACCCCCGAAACATTTTGTCGGACAAATCCGTTGCCGGAGAATAGCCAGCCTTGGGCCCGGCTGACGGAGGCGGTTTTACATGCATTTCTTTCTTGTGTGGGGGGGGGGGGCGTGCCCAACTGCACTTCTTGTTGGCGGGACTGTCGGCAACTAGTCATACCATCAGACCTCTGGGAAATCAGTTGGGCACTCCGAGGCTTTGAATGATCTTCGGCAACACGGGGCCGAAAGCCTCAAACACACTGATGAAATCCCACAAATGTGCAGTTTTTCCTCGGGCTGCAGCCCTGCGTTTGTTAGCAGGGGGCAAAGCAGGCAAGTGAGACTACCCTCAGACCTGAGCATGGAACAGCCCAGGAGACTCCCATGCCGTTTCGAAGTAAAGCCCATCTTGCGTGACATTTGTTTTTGCGTGGAGTCCGATCTCAGCGGAGACCAGCCAAAGGGCACTTTTTTCGGGGCGCAAAGTGCTCTTTCATTCTGAGGGAACCCCCCCGACGCATGAGTCCCGCGAGGCGGCTCGTCGCCCTCCAAGGTGTCGGGGGGCCCGAGCGAGCCACGAGTTTCCCATGCGTCTGTTGGATGATGTTTGTTTTGGGTTTGGTTTTGTGTTTTCTTTTCTGTGTTTTGTTGTGTTTTTTCTTGGGTGGGGTTGTTGCTCGAACTTGCGACCTCTTTTCTCTGCATTCCATAGGAATTGGCTCCAGAGCAAGCCGTGCTTGGCCAGGTCGCCTTTGTTCCCACATCACCTTACTCCAAATTGGCGGTTTTGGCTGGTGGCTTGGAAGTCAGGTGCTTCCCATTTGGTTTCAAGAGGAACTGGGGCTTCAAATCACGAGAATCCAAACCGCGGGAGAGTGACATTCCTCGTTTGAGCGCGGACAACGTTTATGAACGCATCTTGTCCTGCCTGAGACAGCTACAAGTGGATAGTCAATTGGCGGCTTTGAGCAAAGACATTCAAACCCGTGCAGGAGAGTAGCCAAACCTGTGCAGGCGTCGTGGATTTTGGAGATACGGGTATTCCGAAAACGCCTCTCTTGCAAACCCAATAGAAACCCAATCGGCCAACCAATCTTGAGACAACTCGTGACAGCACGCTGGTTTTTGCTGAACACCGTCATGTTAGCAGCTGGGTGTGTCCCTTTTTGGCTTTGCCGGACAACCAAAAGGACAACCACAATTTTTAGGGGCCCCAAACTAAAAAAATCAATCCCAGCTGAATCCAAGACATGCACGTGGCCAACACTCATTGAGGCCCGATGGCAAATCCAAGCGCGGCCACCCAACGCGCCAACCCGGCGATAGTGTGCAATGCACGCGAGGGGTGTGAGAGACGTGGTGCGCATTCTTCTTCCTTTGTTGCAAAAGGGATTCCTAAGTCAAACCAACACAAAGGGCGCCCTTTCTTTCCCATGGCCAATGGAGGTGTGGATTGTCGATCGGAATTCTCAGACGCGAAATGGGTTTTAGCAAAAAGGTTCTAGCATCAGGGGTGTTGCCTCTGTCTGATGCATGGTCCTAAGAATCCGAGGACCAGAAACCTTTTGACGGTTCCTTCACTGTCGTTGGCACGTTTTTCCCCGTTCCTTTTTAGTAGAGGGATGTAGCCAAGAAAGTGCTTGGCTACCATACCAAGGGTTGGACAGGTCCTACCCTCTGGAGCAGACTCACGCCTGGGCCCCTTTCACGTGTCTAAAACCTCGAGCAACTGGCAATTTCGATGGTTCTCCCTGGACATTTCCAGACTGGTGATGTTGGGATTCCAATCATGTTTCACACTTTTGCATTTTGTGAGTTGTTCGTTTTTGCTTTCTTTTTGTCAAGGAGTGCTTCTACACTTTGTACCACCCAGTCATGTAGCTTGAGCAAGGCAGAGGAGACGCGCTCAAGAGCCCGGGATGGGAGCAGCCCGGATGGCCGTGCTACTGTGGATGGACGCAATCCTGCACCACCTAGCAAACCCTGAAAGGATGATTCCCTTGTAACTGCCAACAAACAACGGTTTCCCACAAGTGGTGCAGGATTTCGTCCATCCACAGCACTTGGGGTCAGGTGACGTGTTGTGCGGGCGCCAAACTGCGTTGACGTACAGGGATGGAAGGCCAGGAGGCTGCATGGACAGCATATTCGAAGCCAAGAAATTGGAGCCCTGAGCGCAGCCCAAATCAACGGCACTTGGCTGGCGGACCTTTGAAAACCCGGGGGGTGGGGGGGTGGTTCTTGTTGAAGTGAAGGCTTCTCTTCAAAATGGGTTGCACCATTGCACCCCCCTGAATCAGCCAAGCTGCCGAGGATAGAGAAGAATCTATGCAGGTTCATACAGTCATTTTTCCATATGTGTTGCTGTCAACTGGACCGCTTGAAGTGACACGCCCTTGTTGAATTTGAAAACCTGCGCCAAAAGCCGAATGCGTACTCGAATGCTCTTTGTCTCAGGCCGGGCGGTGCATGGAGCGACGGCAAGGCCCGGTGAGTCGGAGAGCGTTTTTTATGTTTCAGAGCCCGTTTTGAATTTGTGGGTTTGGGAGGGCCCACTGAACAACAGACCCAATAAAGGCGATTCATTCAGGCCAAAGACTGAACAACGGACCAAACAAAGGCTGGCGAAGTTCTTCTTCTAACAGGGCCACTGGTCCGGGGTTCATTCAGCCGAAATCTATTGCACTCTGATTGACGCAGTGAATTGGAGAGCAACGCTTCCCTCAGGTCCGTTGACAGCACACCACATTTCACCACCACCACACTGCAATGAGATTGAATCATCCCGATTTCACATGTGTGTTTTTGAGGGTACCATCCTTTTTCAGCTTGGTTTAATTTTCTGCACATACGAAGCCATTTTCTTCCTGCAACTTGCTGACACCCCAGGATTTTTTTCAGGCGATTTGTTTGATGTGGATTCACCCAATCGGCTGAGGAGTCTAAAGGCTCGTTTTGCAGCAGGGGTTCAGTTGGCCTGGTCATGAACCCAGCAGTTTTGCGGTTTCCAACTTTTGGACGGGCTTCTACATTTGGACACCGATAGAGTTTTGATGGCAGACATGCGTGGGGCGGGGGGCGGGGGGAGGGGGGGTTATGGGGTGCCAATTTAAGGGCTGATTAGAGAGCGATGCTTGCAAGGCTCGAATTCGTGAAATCCACCGCCTTTCTCTTGCTGCGAGCCTCACGATGATCAGGTTAGTTTTCTTCGGTTCTCTGCTTCCATTTTTGGAAAACCACACAGAAGTCACAGAGGCAGAGGCGGGGTCTTAGTCTTGGACGACCCCTTCTGGTGGCTTCCTTCGGACGTTTTTTTTTTTTTCTCCGTGGTCCGCGGCGCGGGCAAGGACGGCGTTGAAGCGGAGCGCGGCGCCGAGATCGGGTCTGATGGGTCGGAGCTGTAGGGCTCAGGTGAGCGAAAACGAGTGGCTTCCGAGGGGTGGTTTCCTAACGCTGGTGCCATAGGCAGGGCACCAAAGCAAGGGTCCATTTTCCCACGTTCCCAGCTGAGAACCGGCAAGTTTCCTGGTGGGAAGTTTGAACAAAGACCAACAGTATATAGTCTGAAACAAACCAGAGATTGCCCCAAATGGACCTGGATCAAGGGAGATTCTGCATACAGATACTTCAGACCTTGCAGATGAAGGGGCATCCACAGTGCGGTCTCCGAGCTTCCTGTGTGCTATCAGAGGATGTGGAGCAACGCAGCCTCACTCTGCGCTTTGCGCAACCAAGCTTCCAGCAGAGTGGCCCGTAGGGTGCCCCCCTAACCTAGCAACACATTCTTTCAGCCTGTCCACAACGTCGTGTGTATTTTTCTTGAGCTTGCAACAGGATGCACTTTGCCTCGCCTTACGTCTGCCTTTCGAAACCATGTAGGTGCCCCTCAGGAAGGGGGGGCTTTTTCGGCCGCGTTGTAGGGCGGGACGTCTGTTTCTGTCTCATGACCTCCGGGGCCCTGAGTCTTTTTCTTCTTCCTAGGTTTGGCAAGCGGCCCTTTTGCTGCGTGCTGGGGTTTTGGCTCGGCCGGTCTGTCTCCCAGTCGGTCGCCCAGGTGTCGCCCCAGTTGGTCGGTCGGTCGGTCTCTCAGTCGGTCGGTCGTCCTGGTCGGAGTCGGTCGGTGGATTGGTCGGTGGATTGGTCGGTCGGTCAGTCGGTCCAACCCCAAACCAACCCTAAACCAAGCTAAATCAACCCTAAACCACCCTAAACCACCCTAAGCCAACCCTAAACCAGCCCTAAACCAACCCTAAAACCACCGTAAACCAACCCTAAAGCAGCCCGAAACCAACCCTAAACCAGCCCTAAACCAGCCGAAGCCAGCCCTGCCGCCCTAAACCAACCCTAAACCAACCCTAAACCAACCTAAATCAACTCTAAACCAGCCCTAAACCACCCTACGCCAACCCTAAACCAGCCGTAAACCAACCCTGAACCAGCCCGAACCCAGCCCTAAACCAACCCTAAACCAGCCCGAACCCAGCCCTAAACCAACCCTAAACCAGCCCGAAGCGCCCTAAACCAACCCTAAACCAAGCTAAACCAACTCTAAACCAACCTAAATCATCCCTAAACCAGCCCTAAACCAGCCCTAAACCAGCCCTAGACCAGCCCCAAGCCAGCCTGCCGCCCTAAACCAACCTAAACCAGCCCTACACCAACCATACACCAACCCTAAACCAACCTAACCAACCCCCAAGCAGCCCTAAACCAACCAACCCAAACCACCCTAAACCAACCCTACACCAACCCTGCGTCTTTGAACAGGTGAACCCTCTGCGGACTCTGCTGCGTTTTGGAAACAAACTCCTTCGAAAAGGTAAACCCTCTGCAGCTTTTCTGGGTCCGGACCACCGCGCCGAACCTAGGAAAAGCACGGCCGCGCCGAACCTAGGAAAAAACAGCACACCCTTCCGCTTGACGTCCGGGGCTCGTTGTTGAAGGCATGATAATTTGAGGTATCAAGTTCATGATCGGCCAATGTACTATTCTCCTTTTCGGTCCAGTTTTAGTCACCCCCAGAGGTCAACCTTTTATTTCCGGGTTGCAAGTGAGAGTTGCTCAACCCATGCCTCTCGCTGCATTCGTCTCAGGCTCGGGCCCCGGGAAGGCGTGCCGGGGGCGAAGGAGCGCCAGGAAGAAGCGGCCCTCGGAGGTTCCGAAGTCCCCGCATGGGAGCACGGGTTCCAACCGTGATATGGCCATGGGCCACAATGGCGAGCCATTTTGGGGTGGATGAAGATCCATTTGCCACCTATTTTGATGTTCACCAGGGGTACAGGGTTTTGACCAGCCGTATCTTCGGCAATCTCCCCCTTTAGAGGGGGGTGAGTCTTTGGGAAGCCCTTGATGTATCACAGAAGTGTATTCCGTTTCCCACACAACACATCCCTGAGAACCCGAAAGGGACAACCTGGAAGACCATTTTCCTCTAACAGGAGCTGATCGGATCAGATCGAGGAAAACGGGAGCGATGTTGGCCATGAAGATTCCAGACAAATCCCTCGGGAAAGTGGCAGTGTTTCTGTGTAGCATGTCAACATGACACAAAGGCAGCGACCTCTTCAACCAGCTGGTATCATGTTCTGGCTTGATGTTTTTTTTTTTTTTTGGTGTTTCTGTTGGCTTTGATTTTGGTTTCAATTTATGTTGGTATGCGTGTCTTTCCATCTTTCATCTTTGCACTATTTGGTTTTGCTTGGATGTGTTTGTTTCCAATTTGTGCTGACTTTGTTGAGACATCTTTGAGCTTTGGCTTTTGATTGTTTTGAACTTGTTCTCCTAAATCTTGCTATTATTTCATCTCAGGGAGGAGCCAATGCACAAGTCACCATGGCCACAGGTTCAATCCCCTCTTTGCACTTGCGATTGGAATGATCTTCACCTGGAAGGAATGCCAAGGTTGGCACACAGCTGGCTGGCTGGGTCCCCCAAGGCTGCGGGATGCTCCAAAGCTTGCCCTTTGCTAGGTCAGTGTTCACTATGTGTGCGCCTTTGGTTTCCTGCTCCAAAGCATGGGGACCTCTCAACTCTCAAAACAGGTCACAGCTCGGTTTTCCTTGGAAGTCTCCTTACGAGGCTTCCCAAAATCCCGAGCAAGCCCAGCTTGCAATACACAAGCACAGAGATTCCTTGGTCAGGCACCCTGCCTCCTACCTCCCCCCAAACAGAATGAGGCCTTGGTTGGCCTTATTTGGCCTTATTTTCCCCAAGGCTCAATCCCCAACCCGTTGCGTGCTTTCAAGTTTTGAGAGGAGTCCATCCTGTGGATTAGAAACGACTGAGCACTTACTATGACAACGCAGACACCCAGTAATTTCGCCCTTCACACTTTCTTTGATGCCTTTCTGAAACTCAACCAGAGACCGAGAGACTAGTCGAAACTCTAGGTTTAAAAGAGTTTTTTTGGAAAGAGAAACCCAAAGTGTCCTTTGGCCCAAGCTCGGCATGACAGGCCTGCGCCGCAAGCAGCAGACGCTAATCCTGGACGAGGAGAACCCTTCTGCCGTGCCACAGGCCGGAGTGAGCACCAGGAATCTGCAAGAGGGTGATCAAATGCATACACTGAAACATAAAAAGCAGAGATACGATACGCAACGTGGATACATGGATAGATCATGCATGATAACAGAGATACACAGATACCTAGATACACAGATACACAGATACGTTGATACCTAGATGCATAGACAGATACATAGACACAGACACGCGTGCAATACACGCATACAGAAACACAGATGCATAGATACAAATACATGGATGCGAGTATCGAGGGTAGCTTGCACTAGCACACACCGGCCCACTAGTTCGGACTCAGATCCAAAGACCCCGGGTCGAGGGATTTCTGGTTGCAGTTTTACCCAAAGGAAACAAGGCATGCCTAACGCCTCGCTTTGATCCCCACGCACAAAAGCTCGGGAGGAATGCCCGCGAGCCTCCAGAGCCGATTTTGGCAGGATTCGTAGCAGGTAAGTGCACTTTATCCTGGGGTGGTTTGTTTGGGTACCCTTTCTTGTTCGGAAGACAACTTCTCTTTTGTTTGGCCCCAAAAGATACTCATTTTGCATTATCAAGCCCAATTTGTTTTTGGAGCTAGAGAGCGAGGTAGCCGCGTGCTGCGCTCCTGCTTTGGACTGATACTTGGAATTGGCATCATATCGATCGATCCGCGGTCAGGTGAAAAGCGTGGTGCGGGTGACGACGCCCCCGGCGGCGCCGGGTCGCTCCTGGGACCTGACAGTGGAGGACCCGTCCCAGCAGATTGGCTTTCAGAATTTAAGAACCTTTTGGAAGGTATGAATTCTTTGGTCCTGGGAGGGGGGGGGGAAGCGTGAGACTCTCTTTTTTGGGCCAAGCGGAAAGGAGAGAAAGAGGTGCCCAGATGAAAAGGCCCAGAAGAAAGCAGGGATTCATGGCTATATAGGATGATATAGGTGGGACCCCTGCCAGAACAACTCGGGGAGTATTGAACAGGGGTCATCATCAGGCAGTAAACCAGATGACATGTTCATCTTGGGTTGGAAGAATGTTCAATGATCGCACCAATGGAAATGACCGGCTTTTCACCTAGGACTTTCGACCCTGTCGCGCTTGACCATCCCTCAAATGGCGTTCCACGAGCCCCAAATGGGTCGGGGCTCGTGGCTGGCTTGCCAGGAGCAAACATGTATCTGGGAAATTCATGACGAGGTCCGGCAAAACGAGCTCCGAGCTGAAGGTCTGTTAGGAGTGATTCCTTTCCGCATGGTGCACGAGAGGTACATGGTCCATGGATCATATTTTGGCGTTTTGAACATCGGTTTCACAAGAAGGCGATGTTCGGCGCTCAGCTCGTAAGTCTGGGCTAGATCAGTTACTTTGGCGGACTCATTGGCAGTGTCAGATCACAGGCGTCCTCGTGACATCGAGGCGCGACATACGTGGTGCTGGTTTACTGGGTGCCTAGGAAAGCTCGCAACCCCAAAGATGGATCAGATCCTTGGGGAACCCCTTCGGTCCGGATCCAGGTTCAGTTCCTGCCTGACTGGGGCGGTCGCCGAACCCAAAGCTCCATCGGTTTCGCGGCATCGGACTTCGGACTTAAAAACCGGCGGCCAAACAAGGGAAAGGCCAAGCCCTGGGCAAGAAATATTCTGTGGTCCATTCTGGGAGGGGCATGGGGGAACTCACAACATCTCACACAAAAACTGGGGACTCACAAATGTCCCCCCTTTTCTCTCGGGGAAGCAACCTTTTTTTGACCGTGACTCAGATGGGAAGTGGACAAGCCAAACGAGTCGCCCAACATGAATTGATCCACAGATTCAGCAACAGCTCTCATTTTCCGGTCCAGTCTCATGTGGGGGCGTCTTTTTGTAGGGTTGGGTTCAAAAAGAAGCCCAAACGAGCCATTTCGAGCCATGTGAGCCCTCAAGAAAACCGCTTTGCCAACCAAAAGCATGGGCAAGAGATGAACCGCTTTGCCAACCAAAAGCCTACCATTTTGGGATAGGTGAATTCACCACCCATTTTAGAACCTATTCTAGTGGTTGGATTGAATCGGATGTTCACTGGGGGATAGCCGGTTTGTGTTTTGACCCATGGCCACATGGCAAGATGTGGAGATCGCCTCCGTCAGGACTCCAGGACCGAGCCGGGGAACAACCGCCGAAGCCGGGCTTGGGGCTCAGTCTGCCGTGAGAGAGCCAGCGGTCTTCCCTAAGAAAACCATAGGACCATAGGATGGATTGCTTTTTTGGGAAGGTATTCCCTAAGAAAGCCATAGGACCAATGGATGGTTGCTGGCTGGATTGTTCGGGGTTGTATTCCTTCCACTTCTGCCCCTTTCGAACGCCAGCTCCGCCCGGGTCCCGGGTGCGGTGGTCCGAGGCCGAGCCCGCGAAATCCTGGTGGCCGCGGGGCGGCCCAGGGAGTTCGACCGACGCAAAACGGCGGCAGCGCTTGGCCAATTTTGGTCCCGGAGTTCAGAGGATGGCCTTGGTGAGCCGCTTTCTGGCCCTCCGAAGCCAGGGCCCCCCCCCCACACTTTTTGGCACAGTTCAAGTACACCAATCGACAGAAAGACAAAATTTCACCCAAGTATCACTCCCGAAAAGTGCTTAACCAGTAGGAAAAGGAAATCCTCAGGGCTAACTCAAACAATATTCAACCAGTATAAACCATTGGCTAGGAAACACTATAAAAGAAGAGACATACTATTTCAATTGCATTTTGAGGAGTAGGACTTACTGAAGAAAAGGAAGAATCATACACAAATACAAAGAGGAAAGGCAAAGGCAAAGGTGAAACTGGTAGAACTTTTTAATGGACTGGTGGAGAAACTCATAAACAGTGGGAACATGGACAACAACAGTAAATGATGAGTTGTTAAGACACATACTGGAAGATTGGAGAATTGTGAAAGGAAAAAGTAAAGCAACAAAGGATTGACAAACCATTTTATATAGCTCATCAATAATTGTATAAAATGATCAACTCACTTAAACAGGAGTTAAGGAAGCACCCTACACATGATGAAATGTTGAAAGAAGCGATGACCCACCGATTACATTGAAATCATCCCCGAAAGACACATTTTACACATCAATTAACAATATAAACTTTTGACGATTTTGACCTTTCAAAGTACGATAGGAGACGGCGGCTGAATGTTAGGGTTCAAACTGAAAAACAAGTTCTTCTGTACGAATTGTCGCCAGAAATGTTTGATAAAGTAGCAGCGACCTCCCAGTTGTATGAAAACACTGAGTGTGCAAACAACGGGTCAATATAATTGATGAATATGATGAACATGATTTGGTTGAACTTGCTGAGAAACATAAATGCTTGACGATTAAGGCTAAATTTGCAGGTCCGGGCAAGTCTACCATTTGCAAGAGCATGCAGAGACTCAAAGGTCAGAAAGTTTGGTTCCTAGTGCCTACCAATAATCTTGGCTTGGGGTGTGATGTGGAAAGCGTCACTGTAAACAAACTCTTCAGTATAGCAGTCAACGACGAGAAGCTAGATAAATGCGATCATTCAATCTTTGACGTCATTGTGTGTGATGAGATCTGTTTTAACCATACGTGGGTCTGGCTCAAAATTAAACCATCAGGGGACCGCAGGTTTTAGTCCTTGATTCCGTTTACTAGGGTTCCATGTGGGGTACCCCATTTTTGACCCACAGCCACATGTGTATTGGCAAAAGTTAAGGACTTTCTGGAGCAACACAGGGCAAATAAGAACATATTGGCTAACGGTGACGCAAAGCAGGTGAGCCCCAGAAAGGCACTGACCAACACCAAGAAACATGAGATTTCAGTGAATGAATGATTGACAGCATTTTTCCCCCTCATGTGTTTCTGGAAGAGTGTAAGGGATTAGAATCTTAGGCGGACAAGGACAGACTTAAATATAAGTTTGATGACATTGCAGGACGTGATCAACACGTATTTTGAATACACCTATGACATAACAGGAACGGAGAGCAACATCGCATATATAAACAACACATGCAAGGACGTTTCAAAACAAATTAGGAAGCGCCAAGGTAAACAGAACGAGTTTGAAGTTGGCGAGATTATGAACTGCAGGGAGTATAAGAAAACAACAACTTATAAAATCAAGGTGAATTTCAGATATTTTGTTATTCATATATCTGAGCCTTGGATCACAATCGCCAATATCAAGACACGTGAAGAGATCGCGCTTCACGTTGGTATTCTGAGAAGTCATTTCATCTTTGCTTTTTGTTACTCTTGTCCGTTCAGGGTTGTTCCATAGATGACGATGTCACCATTTTTGATTGGAATAATCATTTGATTTCTCGTGAATGCCGGTGGACTTCAACCACAAGAGCTAGAGATTGAAATAGAGTCACGTTTTATAATTACAGTAGTGATTCAAACGAAGAGTTCAATTCAAAATGCATTATGAATTGCTCAGGATAGACAAAGCAAATTTGATATTCCCAAAGAAATTTATGTAGTGGCCGAGTGGCTGAAGGACAATGCCAATGGCAATTGTGCAAATTGTGGCTGTGGCTTTGTTTTGTCAATGGACTCGGGTAATATAAACTCCACTCTGACATGTCAAAGGCTGTGCAATGATCTGCCCCACACAAAGGATACTGTCATCACCTTCTGTGCTTCGTGCAATCGGTGTTTCAGTGACAAAGCAACATATTGATATTTATCTTATGGTATCATTTATATGAATGATAAAGACAAGATAATCAGTGGTATCTATTCTGATCGCGCTGGGTATGGATCACAAAGAGTCACATACCAAAACGCCAACAAAAGAGATGCATCCATAGCAATGCAAGATGTCAAGGAGCGGTTTCAAGATAACGTGGACCGGAAAAAGCAAGTGTCTGGAGACAACTCATTTATTGCTCCCAACAACTATGAATATCAACTGGACCTTGATTTGTTAAATCAAGGAATGATTTAGAGAATCAAACATATAGAGTTGGAATATTACGGCCTCACTAAGGGCGCGTAACGCGTCGAGTGGCGCCTATCGCGTGCGTCTAAGCAACCGGCCGACATCACTGCTGGGATCATGGAGGCACTCAACAAAATGGGAGGCACCCAAGTTTGTTTATTCGGATGATGAAGGGAGTCTCAATGTACAGGATCTTGTTGACTTTTTCAAGGATCAGGGGATTCAGAATTACAAAGCAAGAGGGCACCCGCATTTCGCTGAGCGCCATTCAAGGACATGCTGTTTAAGAGCGTTGATGCCGATGAGGAAAAGGGAAAGGGTGACATACAATGGATGGACTACATTTCCAAGATCATGCTAACATAGAATAGTAAGATGGTTCACTCTGCACACGACGTGACTCAAACGACGTCCACAAAAAGGGAAACCACTTTGAGGTCAAGATGAAAGTTGAAATGAACTAGGGTTGGAGATGAGGCCAAGACTTATCGTACAAAGGGGATTTCCGAGAAGGAGAGAACTAGTAGTTGGAGCAGTGTCAAATACAAGGTTTCAAGGCTTGGAAAGAAGTTGGGTCAAGATTGCTATTCTGGTTGAAGGGATGAATCGCCCCTACTTCAGGTCAGAGATTCTGAAGGTTTGAACAACTACTATGCCAATCAGTCACCAACAACAAGGTTTGAGACGATATGTTTGGAAATGGGTAAGGGTCTCAGCTTTGATCACATTGAGGTTTCGGGGTTGTGATCTTGAGGCTGAAAATTCGTTGGTATGTAACTTAGATTTTTGGGATGGTATTTGTTGGGCAGATATGAGATGGTATGTAGTTCTGATTGTTGTTGTTGAATGAGTGTAGAAATGAGGCTGAGATCGGGCAAGAAATGAAGATGGATGTGAGAACATACATGTCAATGCGCACATGTCAACGTATATATATATATATAGATCTAGTGATATTCAATATAAGTATATGTCTATCCCGAAGGTGTTTTGTACTTCACCCCTCGAAACGCCCATCCTCATCCTCAGTGCACCTGGCGAGGTTTGGCGGGGGAGGGGCCTCCGTGGCACCGGCAGAGATCAAGGAGGAGGCGAGTGGTGTGCCACGTCCACCAAAGGCCCACCAAAGTCTACACCCATTTGGGTGGCTCAAAATGAAAGAGCCAGGGGCAAACCGCAGGTTTTAGTCTTTGGTTCCATTTGCCAAGGGTGCCACTTTGGTACATGTTTTTGAGCCATTTGGTTTCCTTGTTCCCCCAAAAAAGGATTGACAAAGGGGGCAGGCTAAAACAGACACAGCTTGATGGCTTTGATAGTTTGAGGTTCGGTCAACATATCCAGCCGATGGAGGGACACGAGGCTGATATTTGGCCTGGGGGTTTCGTTTCATTCCAGGACAAGTCATGGTCAATCCCGAGAGAGCTACTGTGGATGGACGAAATCCATTTCGCACCACTTTGAAAGCAAAGGAAACCAGAACGTTTCTCGATACTTACAGGGGAATCATCAGAAACCAGGGTTTCTGAACGGTGGTGAGAAATGGATTTCGTCCATGCACGGTATCAGGGATGTTTCCTTGAGACTTTAGGAAGCTGAGATAATTTCCGCCACATTCCTTGAGTGCTGCTTCGCTTTTTGCCAAGGAAGCACTGCAGCTTGGCCATGGAAAGGGGTTCCGAAGCCCAACGTAGCCTCCTGAAACAGGGAGCTGTGATGCGAACTTGCAAGTTGGACTCAAAATGAGCTAGGTTGGCATGCAAGCTTGCAACGGGTGAACCATGAGGAGCAACATCTCAAGTGCAAACACGTGTTGCAAGGCGCAGGGTTCGAGTATTACCGTGTGTTCGCATCGTGAGTAAACAAAGCGGAGTTCTCAAGCCGAAGTCTCGGCTCTTTCACGACACAGTCTGGGTCCCCGCACAATTGTCTAAACTTCAATGGCCTTTTCAGGGCTCCTCAAAAGATACGAATTTTGCCACCAATTTTGAGACATGTGGTTTTTTCTCCCCAGAATACAGGGACCCCACCATTTGCAAGTTGCGATGCTCGGGCGTAATCTACTCTCAGGATCCCTGCTCGGTGGCTCACGGGAAAATCCGCCAAGCTGATGTGAAGCAAGACACCGGTTTCAAGCGGGGCATTCCAAGACACCGGGAACATCTAGAGGTGATGTGAGCTGGAACGCAGCCGCTAAAAAGCCGAACGGGGCCGGTTTTTTTTGGGAAGCCCAGCTGAAGAGGTGGCACTACCCTCTTTCATCAAAGCAGCGGCTTTAGCCAGGGAAATGAGTTTTTAAAGGGCAGCCTCAAGGAGTTGATTGAAATGGTTGGCATCTCCTGAGGGAACTTCCAGAATTTCATGTTTGAGGAGTGGCTGAAACATGCTTCAACTGCCGGGGCCAAAAAATGTTTGCGACCAACTAGACCCCTCCAAAAAGCAAAGACAAGGGGCACATAGCACCGTTTCGGAAGATCAATCGAGTTAGAGCTGCCATTTTCTCATTGAAGGCCCCATAGATTGCGGATCCGCAATGTTCTTGGTGCGCTGAGCATCACTGCTGCCCTTCTTCCCATGCTGTGTGTGAGAGCTTTCTCCCTGAAAAGCCAGCAGCCAGAGCCCAAGGTTAGTTCCCTTCGGAGAATGATGAGGGATAGACTCCGCGGGTCTGGTTTCATAGCTACTCGTGGAGAAAACATGGGCGTTTCCTTGACTTGAGTCCCCGGATGGTGGATGGTGTTCAAAAGCAAAGAACAGAGAACGAGCCAGCAGCTTCCTCAGGCCCTTGATATCACACGCGGCTTAGGTTGGTTGCCCAACTTAGACTTCCCCCTTCAGGTTTTCTTTTTGCCCGGCCACCATTCCTGGGCATTGCAACAAGTCACCCAGGAATTCGGGTATTTCAGGAACTCCCAGATGCACCCCGGGGCGGTTCAGGGCGGTCCGCCCCGTCGTCTTGCCTCGGATGGAGTCGGAGTGGACAGGTCACAGCTGTGTCGTCATTCACCTTTGATTGAGTGCCGCCCTTTACCGGCTGCGGGTGGCCCCGACAATTCCGCGCTGGAGAGTGGTTTTCCTTTGAATGAGAACCCACTAACCAAAGCATTGGTCGATGACTGGTTTTTGGTTGATGGGATGACTAGGGGGCTGTCAATGGCTGAAAAAATGGAGGAGTTGGGGGGGGGGGGAAGCACCGGCCAACTCGCCTGGCCTCATGTGCAGAGTCGGCATGGGTTTGCGTTCGTGGCTTCGTGGCGAAGCCCCAGAAGCAACGAGAAGTTCCGACTGGCGGGTGTTCGAATCTTTCCTTTCAGAATCCCGAGTTTCCAGTTTCTCAGCGGAGGGGTATCCTTTCACGACCAGCCATGAATCAAAACCCCAACTTGATAGGAGGCCAGTACTCAAACAACAGACCATGAATTACAATTATTTGGTTGATAAGTAGGAGGTGTTTTTGCATTTGAGCCAAGTGCGGGGGCCAAGTTGTCAAGTGAAACACTAAGCCGTGCTGTGACTATCTCGAACCTGTTCAAACCTGGGTACAAGTAAGGTCCGGCAGAGCCGGGGGGCGGAAGTTTCAAAGCAGTGAACAACTATAGTTTGGAGAACTGTCCTTGGCCCCTTGCTTCTCTCTCTCTCTCTCTCTCTCTCTTTCTCTCTTTCTCTCTTTCTCTTTCTCTTTCTGTTTCTCTGTCTCTTTCTCTCTCTTTCTATCTATCTCTCTAGCTATCTCTATATCTGTTTATTGATCTATCTATCTACCCATCTTTCTCTGCACTTAAAAGTTGCGATGTTCAATCCCCGAAAGTTGACTTCGCGTACTACTTTCGTACTTAAAAGTTGCGATTTTCGAGCCCCAGCTGCGAAACTGGACTTCACGTACTACTTTCGTAATTAAAAGTTGCGATTTTCGAGCCCCAGCTACGAAAGTGGACTTCGCGTACTACTTTCGTACTAAAAAGTCGCGATTTTCGAGCCCCAGCTTTGCGTACTACTTTCGTACTTAAAAGTTGCGATTTTCAAGCCCCGGCTGCGAAAGTGGACTTTGCGCACTACTTTCGTACTTAAAAGTTGCGATTTTCAAGCCCCAGCTGCGAAAGTTGACTTCGCGTACTACTTTCGTACTTAAAAGTTGCGATTTATCTATAGATCTACCTATCTATCTACCTCTCTATCTCCTATCTATCTATCTACCTCTCTATTTATTTATCTCTCTATCTCTTTATCTATCTAGCTAGTTATTTGTCTATCTATCTACAAATCTATCTATCTCTGTCTATCTCTGTTTCTCTATCTCTTTCTATCTATTTCTCTAGCTATCTCTATATCTGTTTATTGATCTATCTATCTACCCATCTTTCTCTGCACTTAAAAGTTGCGATGTTCAATCCCCGAAAGTTGACTTCGCGTACTACTTTCGTACTTAAAAGTTGCGATTTTCGAGCCCCAGCTGCGAAACTGGACTTCACGTACTACTTTCGTAGTTAAAAGTTGCGATTTTCGAGCCCCAGCTACGAAAGTGGACTTCGCGTACTACTTTCGTACTAAAAAGTCGCGATTTTCGAGCCCCAGCTGCGAAAGTGGACTTTGCGTACTACTTTCGTACTTAAAAGTTGCGATTTTCAAGCCCCGGCTGCGAAAGTGGACTTTGCGCACTACTTTCGTACTTAAAAGTTGCGATTTTCAAGCCCCAGCTGCGAAAGTTGACTTCGCGTACTACTTTCGTACTTAAAAGTTGCGATTTTCGAGCCCCGGCTGCGAAAGTTGACCTTGCAAAAATGCTGCGCCTGCCACCAAATCTGTGCTTGACCTTGCTAAAGTGCTGCGCCTGCCACAAAATCTGTACTTGACCTTGCGAAAGTGCTGCGCGTGCCACGAATTTTGCACTTGACCTTGCGAAAGTGCTGCACCTGCCACAAATTCTGTACTTGACCTTGCGAAAGTGATGCGCCTGCCACGAATTTTGTACTTGACCTTGCGAAAGTGCTGCGCCTGCCACGAAATCGATACTTGACCTTGCGAAAGTGCTGCGCCTGCCACGAAATCTATACTTGACCTTGCGAAAGTGCTGCGCCTGCCACGCAATTCAAACCTTGCGAAACCTTCGCGCGGCCGTGCCAATGGGCCCGTCTCCGAGACCGTTCCGAGACCGTTCCGAGACCGTTCCGAGACCGCCTCCGTACAGGCGTCGCAGCCGAGGTGGTTTGCGCACAGTCCGGAAGCCCAATTCACGCACAGCGCCAACGTTTTCTGCATCTTGCCATCCCCCAGCTCGCAGAGAGTGGACGCAGCACCTTGCGAAAGTGCTGCGCCTGCCACGAAATCGATACTTGACCTTGCGAAAGTGCTGCGCCTGCCACCTTGCGAAAGTGCTGCGCCTGCCACGAAATCTATACTTGACCTTGCGAAAGTGCTGCGCCTGCCACGCAATTCAAACCTTGCGAAACCTTCGCGCGGCCGTGCCAATGGGCCCGTCTCCGCCGTTCCGAACCGTTCCGAGACCGTTCCGAGACCGTTCCGAGACCGCCTCCGTACAGGCGTCGCAGCCGAGGTGGTTTGCGCACAGTCCGAAAGCCCAATTCACGCACAGCGCCAACGTTTTCTGCATCTTGCCATCCCCCAGCTCGCAGAGAGTGGACGCAGCACCTTGCGAAAGTGCTGCGCCTGCCACGAAATCGATACTTGACCTTGCGAAAGTGCTGCGCCTGCCACGAAATCGACCTTGCGAAACGCCTTCGACCTTGCGAAAGTGCTGCGCCTGCCACGCAATTCAAACCTTGCGAAACCTTCGCGCGGCCGTGCCAATGGGCCCGTCTCCGAGACCGTTCCGAGACCGTTCCGAGACCGTTCCGAGACCGCCTCCGTACAGGCGTCGCAGCCGAGGTGGTTTGCGCACAGTCCGGAAGCCCAATTCACGCACAGCGCCAACGTTTTCTGCATCTTGCCATCCCCCAGCTCGCAGAGAGTGGACGCAGCACCTTGCGAAAGTGCTGCGCCTGCCACGCAATTCAAACCTTGCGAAACCTTCGCGCGGCCGTGCCAATGGGCCCGTCTCCGAGACCGTTCCGAGACCGTTCCGAGACCGTTCCGTACAGGCGTCGCAGCCGAGGTGGTTTGCGCACAGTCCGGAAGCCCAATTCACGCACAGCGCCAACGTTTTCTGCATCTTGCTTGCGACTGCGCCTGCTCAGACTTGCGAAAGTGCTGCGCCTGCCACGAAATCTATACTTGAGAAAGCTATCTACGTGTTAAGCTGGCTATATGTCAAAGCTATCTATCTGTCATGCAAGCCTATTGGAAAGCTATCTATCTGTCAAGCTAGCTATATGTCAAAGCTATCTATCTGTCATGCAAGCCTATTGGAAAGCTATCTATCTGTCAAGCTAGCTATATGTCAAAGCTATCTATTTGTCATGCAAGCCTATTGGAAAGCTATCTATCTGTCAAGCTAGCTATATGTCAAAGCTATCTATCTGTCAAGCTAGCTATATGTCAAAGCTATCTATTTGTCATGCTAGCTACCTGTCATAGCTATATGTCAAAGCAGCTAGCTCATTTAGTTCCAGTACTACGGAAGTTTCTTGTTAAACTTCCTTTGACTATGGCCATCGAAACGGGGGCTTGGTGACTAAGATCAGCTTTCGGAAAGGTTCAAAACGTGTGTCCACTTCCTTGTTTTCGGATTAAGTGCTCTTGATTTGGTTCCGGCGCTGGACCAAGTGGGGCGAAACCCGGCGAATGCCGTAGCTCGAATCCTGCAACCTGCACCACTTATTCGGCGTAGGCATCGCATTGCCCGACTGTTTGAAGTGGAGAGCCTGCCTTCTCAGCACGGGGCCAAGTGAGCCACAATCAAACCTGGTTCAGATGCCATAAAAACGGGCATCACCCACGCCACAATGACTGGCACCAGACCAGCACCAACGGAGCCATTAATATATGTTCTTCAATATTTCCGGTAGTCTCTTGTCTATTTGGGAGGGACACCGATCATTTGTCCTGCAGAGAACCAGAGAACAACATTGTCTCCCCATGCCCGTGCATGTTGCGGTGATGTCAAGCATGGGTAGACGAGCTCGGGCCCCACATTTTTCACGATGTTTTTGCTGATTTGGGAGGTTTGCGCTTTCTTCTTGGATCGTATTTTCCATTGCAACAACGCTGTTCACATTTTTGCAAAATACTGATATTTTCGAGCCGCTTTTTGCTCAACCGACTTTGACAACCAGCGAACACAAGAGATTCCTTGAACTGGCCGCACTGACAGGTGTTTACTTATTGCACAAGGTTACGTGCAATGCCAGCCAAAAGGTCTCCAGCAACGGACGTGGCGGATTGGCTCTCCAGTGAGGTTTGGCAACACAAATCTCAGCATCGACTGTTAGTATGTGGAAATGGTGCATCCAACACTTGGAAAAAGCAAAAAGGATGAATGAAAGGGTGGTGGCTTTGTCTCAGAATGAGGGACACCCAAACTGGTCGGTTTCCCTTTTGCGCGGCCGAGTGGGGACTTTTCAACACCTGGCTTTTTTTCAACTTCTCATGGCAAGGAGCATTATGGAGGCTGCATACCGCCGGTTTTGGCGGATTTCCCCGATTGAGAGCTGCATGGCATGCACAAGGCACCACTGCCGATGGTTGCCGGCCCCCTCCCCAGCGGGAACGGAACCGTAGAGTTGGGTGAAAGATGGCACAATTCCAAGCCTTGCGGCTCCCAACTTATCAAAAGGTAATCGTGTCATCTGCCCTTTGGTTTTGACTCCCCCATCAGTCCCAGTGGCTTTTGCAGACCAGGACTGAGTTCTTATCTTCTTTTTTTTGGGTTGGGGGCCCTTGACTGACAACCATGGGACATGTATTCACACCGGTTTCACCGAACTGCTTTGCCGCGCGCCGAGCTCCGTGCCGATTTCTGAGTTCGCATTTGGAGCGACCTGAACGGAGCTGTGAAGAGAAGCCGCCAACTTCAACACTTTGGGGGAGGCAAATTTTAAGACGGCCGGGGAGTTCCTTTGAC